ACAGCACCACACACACACACAGGGTGAGCCCTGACCCCACAGCATCCCATACGCAGCACCACACATACACAGAGGGTCACCCCTGATCCCACACCACCTCTCACACACAGGGGGTCAAACCTGATCCCACAGACCTACACACACACAGAGGGTCACCCCGATCCCACAGCACCTCCCACCCACCCCAAACACCCACTGAATGGGGTTAATTGTGTTCTCTTTCACTGAAAAACTGCTGCTTAACTGGACCCACACACACCCTACTGGGCTATTTCTCAAAGCAAGAGGTTTGGGAAACTTCATTAAGTAGTGAGGCCAAGAAACCTCACAGTGTGCTCTGCCTGATGATCAGGATCCCAAATGTTAGCAGTCCATAGAACCCCAGAATGGCTTGCTTGGAAGGGACCTCAAGACCATTTCATTCCACCCCCTAAGCAGTATGTTCCACCTCCCACTAGCCCAGGTTGCTCCAAGCCCTGTCCAACCTGGCCTTGGACACTTCCAGGGATGGGGTAGCCACAGCTTCTCTGGGCAACCTGTGCCAGGGCCTCCCCACCCTCACAGGGAAGGATTTATTCCCAATATCCCATCTAACCCTGCCCTCTGGCAGTTTAAAACTATTCCCCCTTGTCCTGTCACTATGTGCCCCTATAAAAAATCCCTCTCCCTCCTTTTCATAAGGCACTGGAAGGCCTTATGATAATTTCTCATGTTTTCTGCTTGGTTTCTATTTCCAAACCATTCTTTTCCAGTTTTCCTTTCTCAGTTGTTACTGTTCCACGCTCAGAAGTGCACTGAGTATGCTTTAAGTTGCCAGCGCAACTCCATACAGTGCCCAGGTCAAGGCACATTTCCTCAGGAAAACAACACTTTGACTGTGACAGCATTTTCCTCACATCAGCATCTAAAACAATGCTGAGGCAGCAAAGTTAAAAATTTACATTCTGGTCTTCGGTGGAAAAAACCAAAAAAATGAAACCTTCACTTATTGTGACCTAGTGGGGATTTATTTCAGGGTGGTTCCTCCTCTTCAATACTAATAAAATCTAGCTGAGTTAACATGGAACTTGGTAAAACATTATTGAATATAGCTAAATAGGAGATTTAAAAGCCCCACATCAGAAGGAATTGCTGAAAGTTGATTTAAATAAAAAGGAAGGTTGGAAAGTTTGGGCTTTTTGCAGAGCTCTGGATGCACCCCAATTGTTTGTCTTCAGCTTATTCTGTGACTCAGAATAAACTAATATTTAAAGCCATTAAGAGAAGTACAGTTCTCAAATGTCTCAAGTCTAATAATTATCTCATTATTTCCTGTCACTAGAAGGGAACTGGGCAAAAAGGGGAACCCTCCCTCTCACCCCAAGCCAGCACTAACATTGTTTTCCTTAAACAAGTAAGAAAGCACCGGAATCCGCCCTCGGCTTCTGAACTTTGAACTTCCCATCACCACTGCCTTGGAGGCAGCTCGAGGCACCACAATTTCTGGAGGGTATGTGCTGCAAACCTGAGTGAGAAGAAAGAAAAAAACCCCAGATATTAGTACTGAGCAATTCAAAATCCATGAAGAATTCATCTTGAGCTCATGACGTTAAGATTTATTTAGAAAAATAACACAGGAACAGGTTCAAAATAAAACAATGCGAAGGAAAGGATCAATTTTGAAAGTGAACCTAGAAAATGGACTGCACTGCACCCAGTACATATTAAAAGAAGTTCTTTAAATTCATAAATTTTATGAAAGTTTCTGATTTAGAATCACGGAATGGTTTGAGTTGGAAAGGACCTTAAGGATCATCTTGTCCCAACCCCCTACCATGGGCAGGGACACCTTCCACCAGCCCAGGTTGCTCCAAGCCCTGTCCAACCTGGCCTTGGACACTTCCAGGGATCCAGGGGCAGCCACAGCTTCTCTGGGCAACCTGTGCCAGGGCCTCCCCACCCTCACAGTCAAGAATTCCTTATCACAAAAAGAGAAAGTAAGAACAACTATATTTAAAAAGTTCCCTCTAAATCTTATTCTGAAAAGGAGCTACCAGCAATCAGGAAGCATCCTCAGAGACCAGCTTTATCCTTCCTCCTCAAACCAGTACAGTCTCTCAGCATGGACTTTGCAGATAAGTTCCTCGCCAAGCCTGGCTTTACATTAGGCTTGACAATTTTAACACACAGGCTGGAAACCCTGAGGAAATTCTAAAGCACTGGCACTTGAGAGTTACACTTGAGCAAGTAGAGCTCAGAGTGATTAATGATTTGAGCTGCTCACATTCAGGTGCCTTAATCAGCTACTGGAAACAGCATCTCTGCCATCACATCTCAATTCAGGCATCCAAACGCACAGCCAGGTAAAATGAGGTGTCACTTCTGACAGCACAGGCTTGTATTTCTTCAACCCAAAGTGTAACAGCAAAGAAAGCTGCCCAGGGAAGAGAGTGGGGAGCAGGGGAAGGGATTCAGGACCGAATATGTTGGATTCTTCCTCAGAGTTGCTTGTTTTGGCTTTTTGACAGCCAGGTCTGACTGTTCCACATCGGAAGAAATAAAAAGGGAAATAATGTGTAACAGGATTTTGAAAAAGCTTGCTGACAAATGCTGTTGTTTAATGTTGTTTAGATCCAAGATGGCCTTTCAAGGAAAATAACAGCAGCAGCCAGTTTGGACTGAAATGACAGAGAGGCCTTATAAAGCAGGAGATCCAACCAAGCAAGCAAAAGAAGGTCTGTTTTTCTCCTTCCTCTCCATTCTGCCTCATCCCCCACCAATCCAAACCACTGCCATTTCTTTCTCTCCTACACATCTGTCCCTAGTCAGGGGGGACAGGCTTTGGAAATACCAAAAGCAGCTAAGGGTACTTCAGGCTTTCCCTAACAGATGGTTTGACATTTCTCTAGCAGAACAATTCTCTGGTCCCTTGCCAGGGGGATCAAAGCAAACCAAGGTGACTCTGCAGCTCTTCTGTAGCATCATTATCTGCAACTTCCCATCAAGATGATGCTGCTTAAAACCAAGAGAGCTCATTTCTCCCCAGAGGCAGCAGAAGGGGTTCTCTGTGTCATTAATAACCACAAGGAGATACTGCATTAAATGGCTACTTGGGGCAGGAATTACCTCGTAGTCCTTGTTAACATCCGTTATTTCCCAGTAGCCATTTGGAATTCCCATGCGCTGGTAATCCAGTTTTAAATCAATTAGTTTCCACCCAACTTCCCGGTTCTCTTTAGACATTTTAGGATTGTAAGAGAAAGCATAAAGTTCTTCAGGTTTCACTGGGAAGAAGAAAGAAAAAAAAATTAACTATTTAATAACTAAAGAGATGCAAAGACATATAGAGAGGCCAACACTTCTGGAAATCAATCATTCAGAGCTGCAGAGAAGAGTATTTGAGATATTTAAAACTTCTCAACCCCATATTTATAGGGCTTTGGTCAGGATAGTACCAAGTGCTGAAAATTCCTCCTGAAATCCCCAGGAATTTCCAATACTCAGTTCCCACATGCAAGGAAATAGGCTTAAAACATTTTGTTAGAATTAATTGTAAGTCTGAAGCGGTAATTTTTCCTGAACAAATGATTTCCTCCTGAATTCACTACAACAGGCACGTTAGCTGGGATTTATGTCATAAGCATTAACCCATAAATGACAACACATATTAAAAGATCTATTTTCTGTGGAGAGTTCATACAACAGCTCTTCCACACGTGGAAGTTCATCCTTTAACAGCAAGTTCTAACCCTGAGAGATGTCTGGAATGTCACTTTCAGCCCAACAAAGGCTTCAGGCTGGGTCTGACAAATGGCCATTTACCATCCCAATCTCCTTCCCTCTCTCCATAAAATGCAAATCCAGCCAATAACTCGTTCAGCTAACTCCCAAGGCAGGAAGTGCTCCAGAGACAGAGGGAAACCTGTCAGGGGCTGATAAAGCAGGTAACCCCCAGCTGTCCATCACTCTGCCAAAAAACCATGAAGGGAACACACACACAGACATTCTTTAAACCAAAAACAGAGCACTCTTAAAATCCTTAAGCAGAAGAAAAGAAAGAGCTACAGCATTTAGACAAACAACTACAAGAAACTGGTGTGCTCCCCTGCAGTGACACCTCCCAAGCTTCAAGGCACTACCTAAGTCTCTAATTTGCAAAACTCAAAGAACAGGGACAGCTTTTAAATGTAACACCAGAAACCTGCCAGATACAGCATCAGAGTGAGAACTGCAGAACTAAGAAAACTCCAAAGAGCACAAGGGGGATGCTGGGAATATACACAAGTCTTAATATCAATTAAAAAAAATTAAAACTCAGCAAAACCCATTTCTCCTACAGGATTTCCAGCCCAGTCCTGTGTGAAGGGCAGCAAGAAGCTGCCTGGTGCCATCAATTCCCCTCTCTCAGACTAGTGACACAATTTACAAATTGCAATTACAAATTACATCCTTGTAATAATAATGCAACTTGGGTTCACTGAAGTAGCACCCCAAAAACAGAGGCAGAAGGCAGGTAGGAACTCAGTGGAATGCTGTGTTGCAAGAAGAACAAGAAGCCTGAGGATTCATCCATGATGGAATAAAAAGCTAGAGCCAGAAGAGACCACAGGCTTTTGAGGATGTTTTGCTCACCCTCTTTCAGAGTGACTTCAAGTCAGGGCAGCCTGGGTAAAACACAGGGTGTCACAGCTGAGCAAACAGTACAGAGCAGCTTAAACATGCTGCTGGAAACAAATCAAAGATGCCAATGTTTAAGGCTTTATTTGTGGGATTCCTGAATTCTGGGTCAGCTGGAGAGGGCAGAACTGCACACAGAAAACAGCCAGGTCACAGGAATGACTGACAGTGGCCAGGGATGGGATATGACACTCGGTGTAAGTGACATGAGAAAAAAGCCTGGGACAGACTCAGTCAGGCAAATGAACCTTTCATGGGCCTCCAGAAGTTCCTTGTGGAACACCAGCTCATTCCCACTGCCACAGGATCATGGAATGGCCTGGATTGGAAGGGACCTTAAAGATCATCCCTTTCCACCCCCTGCCATGGGCAGGGACACCTTCCACTAGCCCAGGTTGCTCCAAGCCCCGTCCAACCTGGCCTTGGACACTCCCAGGGATGGGGCAGCCACAGCTTCTCTGGGCAACCTGTGCCAGGGCCTCCCCACCCTCACAGGGAAGGATTTCTTCCCAGCATCCCACCTAAACTGCTCTCTTTCATCCTCCCTTGTCCTGTCACTCCGGGTCCTTGTAAATAGTCTATCTCCATCTTTCTTGTAGGCTTCGAAGACTGTGTTTAATTAAGCAAATGTCCTGCTCTCTACTTCCTGAGCCCATCCTTTGTCTCTGGTGGGAGAAGCTGATTCTGATTCCACATTCTGCAGTGAGAGCCCAAACCCAAGCTGGGGCAGATAGAGCTTCCCCAGGGCTCAGCCCAGCCTTCCAGCTTAGAGAGCTCCAAGAATTCCCAGAAGAGACTCCCACTGCCAATACCTGGCTGTGAGAGCTTGAGCAGGGAGGTGAACACGTCGTGGCAGTCCCGCTCCTGCCCCAGGACAAAGTGAGCCACGTGGAAGTTCTTGCAGTGGATGAGCAGGGGGTACCCAGCTGTGGTCAGGGGCAGCTTCTCCACACTTGCAATGTGGTGATGCAGGATCTGAAAAACGGAATAAACAACATTTTTCAGATAAGGCTGCGAGCAGCACAAGCAGAAATGAAGTTTCTGTAACACAGTCAGCTACTTACGCTTCCTGCAGCTAACTAGCAGCAGAAAATGAGATTATTTGTGATTATTTATCAAACATAAACACCCAGACTGCACCCAAAGGCCAGGTAACTAAAGCAGGACTGAAAAAACACAGATGATGTTTTCAGAGATTGATGTGCAGCTTGGTTTACCTGGTGCACTTTGCTTTCCCACTCTCATATGCAATATATTCTGTCATTCTCACTTTGCTTTAGAATCAATAAAATAGGCTCATTTCAGTGCTAATTCTGCACTTACAAAAGCTGTAAATTCAAGTCTGGTGGTTTGGTATATTGAGTTTGAGAGAGGAAACTACACAAGTTTTTTATATTCCTTGAACTGACACTAATTCCATGAGTGAACTCTATCATGTCACCATTGTGCTCATTTCCTTCCAAACCAGCTGTTTCTGTTGAGCATTTGGTATTAAAATGCTATAAAAGGTCATTACAGCTTTGGAACTTCCAAACTTGTTTATTTTGGATATGAGAGCGTGTAGGGACAGGACAAGGGGGAATGGCTTCCCAGTGCCAGAGGGCAGTTTAGGTGGGATACTGGGAAGGAATTGTTGGCTGTGAGGGTGGGGAGGCCCTGGCACAGGTTGCCCAGAGAAGCTGTGGCTGCCCCAGCCCTGGAAGTGTCCAAGGCCAGGTTGCAGCAACCTGGGCTAGTGGGAGGTGTCTCTGCCCATGGTAGGAGGCAGGACTGGATGATCCTTCAAGTCCCTCCCAAACCAAATCAGCCTGTGATGTAAAATAACTTTTATAGGTGCATTTACACAGCCCCAGGCACCACAACATACCCATGTTTCCTTCCTGACTTCAGCAGAAGCCTCCACGTAGATCAGGTGCGTGGCTGTCAGATACAACGTCCCGTTGGCCACCTTCCTGTTCGCATAGCGATCCAGCAACTTCACGTTCTCGACCTACAACATAGAAGGAGGATGAAAAAACTACAGAATCCCAGAATCACTGAGGTTGGGAAAGACCTCCAAGATCATCGAGTCCAAGCTGTGCCCGATCCCCACCTTCTCACCCAGCCCAGAGCACTGAGTGCTATGTCCAGTCCTTCCTTGGACACCTCCAGGGGTGGGGACTCCACCACATCCTGGGCAGTTCCAATGCCTGACAGCCCTTGCCGTGGAAAAATTCCTCCTGATGTCCAACTTTGATGGAGGAATTATCTAAACACCTGTTGAACTCCAGTCATTCAACTTCTAATAGGCAACTCATGAAGCAAAACAGGAAAATACATGAATTTAAGTCTGCCCTGCAACACTAGCTCAGCTTTATGCTATTATTTCTCCATGAATTAAAGCCAAAAAGGTTAAGCAAACAGCCAAGGTTCAGCACCAGTGTGAGTAACAGGACGACTGGATGTGTAGCCAAGATGATCCCAGTTTGTTACTGGGCAAGGCTGACAAACAACAAGACAAAGAACTGCAAAGAAAAGACTTGTCTGTGTTCAGAGTAATCAAAGTGTTGCTCTGAAAGGAACAGCCCTCTCCAGTCTGACTTCCAACTGCTCAGTGCCTGTAAAAAACCACTAGGAGCTACTTCTTGTACTTCACTTCCTGGCCTGTAAGTGCATTTCATAAACCACACCAATCTAATTAATAAAAAGCAGCTTTAGAAAGCATCAGCGCAGACATAATAAAATAGTTGACAGTATTTCATCGATTTCCTCCTGGCCTATTTGCCTCTTCATGAAGGTAGATGGAAATTTTCTTTCACCATTAAGCACAAATAATGGGGAAAAATAATTGGATGGATAATAAAAACACACTTTTTAACAGTATATGATAGATTAGTTTTGGGTATTGAATGTGAGAGTTTTCTTACATTGTCTGAGATATGCCATGGAAAATGTCAGCAAAGAAACTTGCAGAACAGAGGTAGAGGCTGAATGACTTCCTAGCATGTCATATTTTTCAGCAAATATAACTATTATATATAACAATTCCCTTTTTCAGAGCACTAGACACAAGCAGGACCAGCAAAGCACCGCAGGGAACAGAGGAAGGAGCATCCCCAAACCAATATCCTAGAGAATAAACCAAAATATAACAATATAACAACCTCCATGGCAGCAAAAGGTAAAATTAAATTACCAACCGCTGCCTGAAGTAAATGCAATTTATTTTTAGCCGCCTGAACACAGCACTACCGGAGCTCCTGTTTCACTGAATTTGACATTTGATTCACTCTTTGGGACTGAGGGGGGTGGATATAAAGGAAATTTTCAGGGATTGCCGCCAAAACACCTTGTGTCACCCCCCTGCAAACCCGCTTCCCAACACGGCGGCGGAGCCACCAGCACCTTCACACCGCGGCTTTAAACCCGCCGCGCTCAGCCCTGAGGGCGCGCAGAGGGTGTTGCCCCGACGGGGATCAAACACGGCGCGTGCAGCCAAATAAATCCCGCCGTTAAATGGAACAAACCTCAGTGAGGGTTACCTTTGGGGTGCTGATGTGCTCCATGGCCACCTAGCCCCGCCGGCCTGCCGGGCCACCCCGCCGCCATGAGGGACCGCCCGCCCCGCCCCTCCCAGCCCAGGGCTCGCGAGAGCCGCGCGGCGCCGCCGCCGCCATGTTGGGTGAGGGCAGCGCTGAGGGCACAGCCCGCCGGGCACGGCCCAGGATTCCCCGCCTGGAATCCCCTCCTGGAATCCCCGGGATGCTCCTCCTGAGGAATATTTGAGGGAAAAGCCCCTTTTTCCTCTCAAAATGTACGGCCAACAGTGTTGCCCTCAATGGGCTAATCAGAGGCGCATTTCACATTAATGCTTGGCACACTCAGCAGAGCTAATAATACCTGTTTATCAGGTTTTCCCTATATTTTAATTTCAGAGCACGGCGCTGCCTCTCGTGGATACCCAGCCTTGATCCCGAAGAACTGCTTTAATTCACGTGCCTGCAATGAGTGTTCGTGTCTCACACACCCCGGGGCAGCTGCTTCCCCAGGTGTTCCTTCCAACCTAAGTCCCAATTTCCTGAGAAATTCCCTTCAGCAGGGTGATCTTGTGTGGAGTGTGAGAATTTACAGGTTTTAATTATTACATGATCAGAATCACAGACTGGTTTGGGTTGAAAAGGGACCTTAAAGCACACATAGTTCCAACCCCTGCCACGGGCAGGGACACCTTCCGTGGGTGTTTTTCCAATGGGGGATATTGGTGTGATGAGCCAGTCAAGCGTTTTTACGGATCCCAGCAAGAAAAGACTTGAACTTCATAAGGTGTTGATTAAAACACTGTTTATTAGAGATAACAAGAGAAGGGAAAAGGGGATCAAATGGACCCCAGCCAGGGAACACTGCACAGATCTGGCTTCATCCTTTCATCTGTACCCTCAGAATTAACCAAATCTGAAATTCCTACCCCTTGTACAAACATTCCATACTTGTACAAACCCACACGGTTTGTACTTCCAGGGAAGAGGAGGCACATGGGGTGTAAATCCCGGGTGTGGAGCAGCACAGACTCCTCCTCTGCATTTAGTAAGGGCAGAACTTATTAATTACAGCTTTGCATTTGTGCTCCACATAATCCAAAGTCAGTTTTCCCCCCATTAGCTTCTCCTGGGGTTTGCAGAAGGATGAGGATACTTTAGAAGGTTAATAATAATTATTATTATTAAATAATAATAATAATGTCATTGAAGGGACTCCACAATACTCCACAATGTAGTTGTATAATATCAACTCTTTTTCCTCCTCTTCCCAAAGGAAATGGCACACACAGAAGGCAAAAATAAAAAAACGAGGGAAGAAATAAGCACGTGGAGATGAGAAGAGCTGGAGTAACAGCTGCATTGCCCAGCCAGACACTATCACCCTCACAGCTTATTCCCAAACGAATCATTATGCCACAGGGATCAGTTTGAGCAGCAATCCCAAGGAATAAAGAGAGCTGACTTCTTCCAGGGAGCTTTGCCCAAATAATAGATGTATTGTCCACATCTTCTCTCTGCAATCTGCATTTACTGAGCCTGAGGAGTTGAGGCAAAGGGAGGTGTCAGAAGAAAATAAATAGAGAATGAGGCCACAGAGTTGAGCTCAGCAAATACATTCCTCCTGTATTTGAGGAGGAAGGTGAACTCATAAAAAGGGACCTTATAACCACCCAGGTCAGTGATGAATGGGGCTTAAAAGGAGTGTTTCACCTGTCCTCCAGCTGATTTTGTTGGATGGATGACAGAACTGACACAGAGCAGGATTTGTACCAGGCCACCAAGGCCATGTCCCAGGCTTGACTGAACTTGTGAGTACAGCTTACAGCACATTCGGACTGCACATTTTTGCTGTCACTTTAAGTCACATTTATTACAGAATTTCCCCTATACTACAGGAATCTGTAACTCTTTTGATCTTGCTCTGAGTTCCTTACACTGACATTGATTCTGCCATTCACCCAGTGCCCACCCTCAGGCTGGACAGGTTTTGCATGGAGAGAAGAGTGGCTTTCTGAATTTTTTTTGCAATCTGCAGAGCAGTTTGAAGAGCTTCAGTTTGCAGGAACAAGCTAAATTGGAGATATAGTCTGTTCTTCACCAAGCAATTTCTGTAATGTCATTTTTATTAGTCACTCACCCTTTAGGAAGTGTTTAACAGGCAGATAAAATCTCTATCAATAAAACAGTCAAATCTTGCGTGATGCAGATGAAAATTACATTTTTGGGGATATATTTGAGAAAAGAACAATTTATTGTGCTACTTTTATTGTGAGAAGGATGGGAGGGGGCATTACCAGACACCCACACTGCAAGCTCCTGGAATACAAGTGCCAAAGGGGCTGTTGGAAAAGGAGTCTTGTTTACAGGTCTTATCAAGAGAATGATGCCAAAAATACACTGAGATAATAAGTTTAGATACAATTCAGTGCACACGAACCCACCCAGAGCCCAGATCCTGTCATTTTGGGAGCAGACAGCACAAGGAATGTCATGACCAAGTCCATCAGTGCGCTGATGCCAAGGCCAGCTGAAACACCAGGCAGGAATTTGGCCTTCAGAGTTTGTTTTTCTCACTTTAGTGGTACTCAAGAAATAGCTGTGTCAAGAAAGAGCCTCAGGGAGAACAGATTTTGCCCATATATTAGAATGTTGACTGTCACAAATAGAGTCTGAAGTGTCTTCTCAGAGAAGAAAAATTTACAAGTAGCTTCATTTGGGGAATATGAGACTGCTGAGAAGAATGAAAGCAAAGCTGGGCATGGGCTTCTGCAAACCTTAACCCTTGGAATTGTCCTAATTCTCAAGGGCCCTTCAGTGGACATTTTTAAGTGAGTTTTGATATCATGAGGTGGTATCAGAGTCTTTATGTGAGGAGCTGCAGCATCACTATGTTACCTGGGCTAGTGGAAGGTGTCCCTGCCCATGGCAGGGGCTGGAACTGGACGGTCTTTAAGATCCCTCTCAACCCAAACCAGTCTGGGACTCTGGGATTCTAATTACAGCCTCTGATAATAGACCCAAAATGATTCAACTGATGAGTTTCCCTGAAGGTTTTGAAAGTAGCTCATAGAAAAAAATCTGTACCATTTCTTACCCCTTTTTCTGCTGACAGTGATGGTCCCCTCAGTGCTACCAGTGCAGGTCGGGTGGTTCCTAAAGCCTCATTGCTCCAGTTGTACTGCAGTTGAGTCTTCCACGTCCTGGGACATCCAGAGATCTGATGGACAAAACACAGTTAGTTCATGCTTTGTACCACTGAAGGACTCACAGCACTGAGCTGCCCCTCAGCTGATCCTGCTGCAGTAATTCCAAAATCCTGATCCTGATTTCCCTTCCAAAGGTTTTACAACACCAAGAGGTTGTGATTGCACCAGACACCAACAGTTTGCATGCAGGGACCATCCCTCTCCTCCTCTAAATTCGATACAATCAGGTGGAGCAACCAGGTGTCCTGGGTATTTTTAGACTCCCTGGTTGTGTTGCTTTGCTGTAGATTAATAACATGCTGCTCATGCTGTGCTGGGGCTGTGGGACAGCTCCCCCCCCCCACCCCGTTCAGAGTCAGGAGGGGTTTATTATTTAAAGCATCACTCACAGAGATGGAAAATCACTGAGGAAAGTGAGGGAAGGAAAGGTTTGGGAGAGTGGTTTTTTTCCTTTGCAGTTGCTGTGGCTGGATGTTTTTAGTGGAAAGAAAATAAAATGTCATCATAACAAGTCTGGTGAAATCACCTGACACTTGTGTCCACTTCCAGCAGAGTTTAAGAAGGGAACTGAAGAACACTCAGTTTCATTGTTGCTCTTGGAAGTGAACCGAATGCATGAACAAAGAGCTCAGACAGGGAAGTTTCTTCTCTTTTCCAGTGAATAGCCAGGAGCAGGTTGTGATGATTCTCATGTTCAAAATTATTCTACAAGATTCTTTGTGTTTATTCCCTTGCAATTCAAGCTGCACTTCTTGTTTTTAAAAATCTTATAATTAAGTGGCCTGGTTTGTACCCCTAGAATTAAAACAGTCTCCCTGAACATCACAAGCCACGCTCATATAAATTTTACTTGCTGCCTAAACTTGAGAAAACAGACATAAATCTGACTTTCACAAAGAGATGAGTTGCTGAGAAGTCCCTGGCATGAACATTCATGGAATGGGACTGTGAGGGAAGGCTGAGCAAGGCCAAAACAAATGTGTTTACAGTCTCCAACAAACCTTTGTAGATCAGGTTTTGCAGTGTGTGTCTGTCACTGCTGGGGGGAACAAAGCCTTCAAACCTCCCAGAGCCTGTCCCTAAGGACACAGAGCTGTTCTCCCTCACCCTGCTGGCAAGTGGGAAAGTTGTTTCCTGGAACTTTTTTTACCAGCTCCCATTGCACCTTGGGCTCCCAGTTGGATTAAAGCTCTGCATGGATGAATGAGTTGATGACTGAGAGCTGGGAATGGTTGTCTTCCCCTTGGCATTGTCTTCTGCCTGACTCTGACACCTCAAAAAGATAAGAGAACATGTGGAATTAGCTCCAGAGCAGGGCAGGTGCTCTGTAAGGATCGGATATTCCTCTGGTGTAAGACATGATCTGCAATCCACCAGTGATCCAGTGCATTCCAGAGCCTGAATAGAATTTTCTCTGCAATCCGAACATGTTCCAGGGTCTTAAACTCTTTGTTGCAGCACACAAAGCTCTGACCCAGTCAAGCCTTGTTAGCAGTGGCAAATTTATTCCTAACTGCTTTTCTCTGATGCAATGGAGTTGTTCTTTTTTTGAGACAGGCCTCAATCCATGGTGACAAAGGGTGGATTATCTGCCTCTCAGCAAGCTATTGAAACCTATCCGAGGGAATTCGGATGTGGGGTTAGGGAAGCTATTGAAAAAATGCCAAGAACTGTATAATACAGGAAGAAGAGCAGGGATGGTACTGAAATGCAGAGTGGTTTTTGGATGTCACAGCATCTGGAGAGCTGAGATGGTGTTTGGCAAGTGACAGAGAGGCATATAATTCAGGATTGGAGCCAGACTCCAGCTTTCCTTGGCTGCAGACAGAATCTCCTCTGGGCTTTTCCCCTCACATACTCAGAAAATTGTTTT